CTTCCAAAAGATACAATCTAGTTGCTATTAGCCCTAGAAGGTTCACATTTTTTCTATACTAACACTTAACAATGCTCCAGGGAAGAGACAAACAATCATGTTTCGAGGACACATTTTTTTTGCATTTTTTTTTCTTTCCATCATCTTTATCAGTTACAGATATTTGCATGAAAACAGGATCACGGGTCCTTGGGGATTCATCAGTTCGTAATGCTTATTTTTCATCCATGTCATCCTCTCAATTAATGCAGAAAGGAGGATTGAGATATCGAAACACCAGATTAGGGTGTCAAGTAAACGTCAACCCCTAGAGTAGATGAATAATCTGTAAGGACAAAAAGGATCTTGTTTTTATGCAAATATCCCATACACAATAAAACAAAGAGGTTATAGCTAAGAAATCTACTACATATCAATGTGATTCTTACCAATTCTAAATTAAAAAACTATTTTCTGCATGTCAACTAATTATTATGATCAGGGAAAATGACAATCAGTAGCAAAGCACTGCTACAGAAATTGAAAGAGCTGTATTTTGAACTAGAAAATAATTTTGAGAAATCTCAGCTGTGCTCATAGAACACATCTGGCAGAAACAAGCATTTCTACTGCAGAATTTTGGTTCCCCGCTTAAGGTCACTGAGTTAGGTGACTTCAAACTCCTACCTCCAAAGCCTTAAGTTTTAGAAATATAAATACTTAATTAATAATAATGATGATCTTAGCTGTGTGGAATAAAAACTGAAACAAACCACACCAAGTTTCTGTTTGTGTGGAAAGACATTAAAATAGATTTACTGATGCTCAGAGAACCAACTCATTATTCTAAAAACTGATAAAGAATCATTTATCCAGTAAGAACAGCATTCAAGGTAATAAATAATGAAGAGTTGGTTAAGATAAAGTTCTTCACAGAAAAATCCTAGCTAGTAAGAAGGAATGATAGAATTAGTGTAATACCATTTCACAGCCTATAATAAAATAGTGAATCTAGGCAGCTTTCAATGGCTGCTAAAACTCTGGTTGTAAGGCTGATGGAGAATTTTATGAGTAATAGATCTGGCAAACAATACCTTTATCAATGAATTAATCTCAACATCACAAAGAGAGACAAGCAGACAGGATGAGCCCTTCTGAAGGATGTGTACAACCCCATTTATGAAATATTCTTGTCAAAATAAAAATAAAAATCAATCCTATATCTGTATGAGCTTCTAAATCTAATTACTGGGGAATAAAAAGGGATAGATGGCCATATTAAGCACTACCAAAGGGATAAAAGCAACAAAACCCAGAATGGGGAAAATTCCCCAGAAAAAGTAACAATAATAAATTCCAAAGGAAAATAATAGGGAGGTGGAGCTATGCCAGATTAAAAGAAACTTAAGAGACACATCAATCAAATATAGTACCTTACTTAAATTCTGATTCAGACCAACCAACTATATAAGACAATTATGAGTGAACCAGGGAAATATGAATTCTGACTGGCTATCTGATGATATTAAACAAGTTTATTAAAATTCTTTAGGCATAATTAATAGAACCACAATTATACTTAAGGGGAAAAAAAGGAAACAAAGTCCCTGTCTTTTGGACTCATATATGAAATTATTTAGTAGTGGGACAATATGATGCCTGAGACTTGCTTTAATTATGTAGGTTGGCAGAGGTTGAAACAGATTGGCCAGATGCTAACTATAAAACCAAGTCATCAGTATATAAGGTCAATTTTCTACTTTCCTCTGGTATATGTTTAAAATTTTTCATAATAAAAAGTACAGAAAAACATACTTCATTATCTTTCTCAGCAGGAAAATAGGAAAAGAAAAAGTAATCAGAGGGAATATAGTAATTTCATCTACAACTAACTAGACAACATTGTTGATAAATACATTCAGTACTATAGCATCTTCTTGATATAATAAACATAAAATTTTATCTCTCTTTTGAAAAAACTTTATTTCATAAGAAAAATTGACATAGATAAAGGATTGATCGCTGTGATCATTACAGCATGTATTATCCAAAGCTAGAAACAGAATCAAGTTCTACACTGTATAAGTCTCGCATTTATGAATTTAATAATCATGGGGTTTTCATTATAAACCCTTGATGTCTATGACATACATGGTAAAGAGTAATTCTGCCAAGACAAGCTTCAATCACGAGAAATAAATGACTAGTACACAGAGGAGTTAGGCAACAATGAGGGCACATCGCAGGCCACCTAGCAACCATGTCTCAGAGCAGTCTGTGGCTCTCCGCTCCTTGATCCATGAAGTGATTTTAAAATGTTTTCTTGGGAAACAAACGTCAACTGCTAATGATAGTAATGGAAATAAAGAAAACAAAAACAGGACTAAGGAAGTGCTATTAGTCGAAAATTGGTAGTTTTAAATTAAATTTTAAAGTGAAATGTTGAATTGGTAGTAAAATCAATGATGTGAACAAATCCAATGCATGTTCTATAAACAAGACAAACAATCTGTTAAACTGCTGTTGGGAATTACATTAATCAATACAAAACAGTTTTGAAGAAAGTTATAAGCTACAGTAGTATCTCAAAATTGTGCATTTATCAAGGTCTCAGGAAGTACCTACCCAATGAGAACAAAGTTCTAACACTCTTTGTTAGAGTATTTCTTTCAATTACAAAGTGAAAATTTTCTACAATTCCTTTGCCGGTTTTATAATAAACAGAGTATGGAAAGAAATATAGTTAGAAATCATTTTAAACTAAAAGACTGGAGAGCAGACAGGAATACAGAATTTTAAAAGCATTACTCATACTGGCAGATTACATTCTTGGTGTGTTACAAAACCCTTCCTTTGGGGAAGCAATCTCCCTGAATGCATTCCATGTGATCTGAGTCAGACTAGCAGTTCCAATCTGCATTTGCACCCTGGCCCCAGGCTGGCCCATCTCAGTGCTCTATGCTACTTGGCTAAAGGACTGGTTCCAGGAAAGGTATGTAAGCCAAGATGGAATAGTCAGAGGTCTCCTCAGGACCTTTTCTGGGGAATTTTCAGAAAACATCTTCTAAAAAAAAAAGAAAGAAAATATCTTCTTTCTTTTGGGATTACAAGATTTAAAGACATATAAACTGGAGTTCCTATTGGTCACCTTCCTGAGTGCAAGGTCAAAGAAGAATAATAATGCATGAGTGAAGCAGAACTCTGAGATGTAAAACAAAAGCAAGAACAAGAGCACATTCCTAAGACATCACTAAGCGTCATGGATCTGGGGAGGGATGGGCTGGAGTTTGGGGTTAGCAGATGCAAACTATTACCTTTAGAATGGATAAACAAGGTCCTACTATATAGCACAGGGGACTATATTGAACATCCTGTGATAAACCATAATGAAAAAGAATATAAAAGAGAATGTGTATACGAGTATAACTGAGTCATTTTGCTGTACAACAGAAATTAACACAACATTGTAAATCAACTCTACGTCAATAAAAAGTAAGTCAGAGTCAAGGATCAAGATATGCTCAAAACTATTTCTACTCCTAGAATTTTGATGTATGTGAATAAAATCCTTTCGCTTAAGCTAGTTTGATTTGATTTAGTCGAAAATTGGTAGTTTTAAATTAAATTTTAAAGTGAAATGTTGAATTGGTAGTAAAATCAATGATGTGAACAAATCCAATGCATGTTCTATAAACAAGACAAACAATCTGTTAAACTGCTGTTGGGAATTACATTAATCAATACAAAACAGTTTTGAAGAAAGTTATAAGCTACAGTAGTATCTCAAAATTGTGCATTTATCAAGGTCTCAGGAAGTACCTACCCAATGAGAACAAAGTTCTAACACTCTTTGTTAGAGTATTTCTTTCAATTACAAAGTGAAAATTTTCTACAATTCCTTTGCCGGTTTTATAATAAACAGAGTATGGAAAGAAATATAGTTAGAAATCATTTTAAACTAAAAGACTGGAGAGCAGACAGGAATACAGAATTTTAAAAGCATTACTCATACTGGCAGATTACATTCTTGGTGTGTTACAAAACCCTTCCTTTGGGGAAGCAATCTCCCTGAATGCATTCCATGTGATCTGAGTCAGACTAGCAGTTCCAATCTGCATTTGCACCCTGGCCCCAGGCTGGCCCATCTCAGTGCTGTATGCTACTTGGCTAAAGGACTGGTTCCAGGAAAGGTATGTAAGCCAAGATGGAATAGTCAGAGGTCTCCTCAGGACCTTTTCTGGGGAATTTTCAGAAAACATCTTCTAAAAAAAAAAGAAAGAAAATATCTTCTTTCTTTTGGGATTACAAGATTTAAAGACATATAAACTGGAGTTCCTATTGGTCACCTTCCTGAGTGCAAGGTCAAAGAAGAATAATAATGCATGAGTGAAGCAGAACTCTGAGATGTAAAACAAAAGCAAGAACAAGAGCACATTCCTAAGACATCACTAAGCGTCATGGATCTGGGGAGGGATGGGCTGGAGTTTGGGGTTAGCAGATGCAAACTATTACCTTTAGAATGGATAAACAAGGTCCTACTATATAGCACAGGGGACTATATTGAACATCCTGTGATAAAACATAATGAAAAAGAATATAAAAGAGAATGTGTATACGAGTATAACTGAGTCATTTTGCTGTACAACAGAAATTAACACAACATTGTAAATCAACTCTACGTCAATAAAAAGTAAGTCAGAGTCAAGGATCAAGATATGCTCAAAACTATTTCTACTCCTAGAATTTTGATGTATGTGAATAAAATCCTTTCGCTTAAGCTAGTTTGATTTGACATTCTATCACTTAAAACTCAAGAGAGTTTCACCGTACAGAGAAAAATAACTTGCAACCTAGTAAACTTGGAAATTATTCCAGCACACTCTATGGTAAAAGGCTTACTTCATAGATTACAGTGGCTTCTTACCTTTAGAACACCTAATAAAGATACTTCCTGAATTATGCCCAAACGCATCATGAAATACACAGCATGGCCCCTGAATAAATGTGATCTGGGTACTCACACTCATCCAGCCCCAACTGATAGGCCAGGTTCTGAAGGCCTCGTACCTTCTCCATCAAGTTAGCTGTGGTGAGGCTCCCCAGTTCTGAAATAGAATCATTCACTTCAATACCATTTCTTTCTTTCTTTCTAGTAACAACTCACATGGGGTGCAAACCCTTGCTATAAAAGTTTTCAAACTTAATTACTACTGAGTGAATAGAAAATGGATCCATATCTCTTCTTATCCACTCACTCACCCTAAACACACAGACATACAAATCAGTGAATTTTTCCACCACTGCAAAATGCCTCATATGAACTTACCCACTTAATGAGAAGAGTTAGCATAAATACAATAGCAATTACGTGTTTTATCCTGAGGATCCTTTTATAACATTCACTTTGCCTATCATACAAAATGAATACACTACTAAAATGTGGAACCTTGTGATCGGACACAGCACTGAAAAAGCCTACAGACAGATCTTTGACTTGCAATATGGACACCGTCTCCACCATCATTCACAAGTCCTCACTGGTCCAGCTGGTACTTCCCAGGTGAAAAGAAAGTGAGTGTGAAAGTCATTCAGTCATGTCTGACTCTTTGCAAGCCCATGGACTATACAGTTCATGGAATTCTCCAGGCGAGAATACTGGAGTGGGTAGCTGTTCCCAACCCAGGTAGATCTTCCCAACCCAGGGATTGAACCCAGGTCTCCCACATTACTGGCGGATTCTTTACTTGCTGAGCCACCAGGGAAGCCCACGAATATTGGAGTGGGTAGCCTATCCCTTCTCCAGGGGATCTTCCCGACCTACCCAGGAACAGAACTGGGATCTCCTGCATTGCAGGGAAGCCCTTCCCAGGTGCACAGTGGTAAAGAATCTGCCAGCCAATACTGGAGACCCAGGAGACGTTGTGTTCAACCCCTAAGTCAGAAAGATCCCCTGGAGTAGGAAACAGTAACCTGCTCCAATATTCTTGACTGGAAAATTCCATCGACAGAGGAGCCTGGCAGGCTACATACAGTTCATGGGGTCTCAAAGAGTTGTACATGACTGAGCACACATACACAATATTTCAATTAACAATAAAATAGCAATAAAACACTAAATAAAATAGCAATAAAAAATAAATAAGAGTCAAGGATCAAGATATGCTCAAAGCTATTTCTACTCCTAGAATTTTTATTTTTTATTTTTACTTTTTTATAATTTATTTATTTGGCTGGGCTGGCTTTTCCTTGCTGCATGGGGGCTTTCTCTAGTTGTGGAAAGCAGGGGCCACTCTCTAGTTGCGGAGCGAGAGCTTCTCATTGCAGAGGCTTCTCTTGTTGCACAGCACGAGATCTAGAGTGTTCAGACTTCAGTAGTTGTGGCACATGGGCTCAGTAGTAGTTGGGCTCCCAGGTTTGGTTGCTCCGAGGCATGTGGGATTCTCCCAGATCAGGGATTGAACCCAGGTCTCCTGCACTGACAGGCAGATTCTTTACCACTGAGCCACCAGGGAAGCCCTAGAACTTTTATTTATGTGAATAAAATCCTTTTGCTTAAGCTAGTTTGATTTGACATTCTATCACTTAAAACTCTTAATAGTTTCCAAATATACTTTCACTGTACAGAGAAAAATAACTTATAACCTAGTAAACTCAGTAATTATTCCAGCACACTCTATCATAAAAGGCATACTTTGTTGAGAAAAAAAGACTAAATATTAATCCAAACGTTTTCTCCAAATCAAATGCCTATAAAACTTGTTAAAGTTTACCATAAAAGAAGACAGTAAACTTAAAGTAAAAACTTAATTTCTGAATTTTTTTTTTTTAGATTTTCATTTAAATAGCACCCAATTACTTTTATGTTTAAGAATAGGTCAGTTTGCATAAAACATAATGCTCTGATCCTTTCCTAAAACTTTGAAGTTTCCTTAGAAAATACATGCTGATGGAATATTATATAAATGTCTGTTTGGAACATTAGAGCAATGAACCTGAGATGCCCTTGAGACTTAATTTTCCCCTGGCTGGAGGAGGGGATCTGCTTTTAAGTATTTCACGCAGAACAATGAATTACTTCTGAGATCAAATAGAGGTGTTATTTTCTGCAACTTATCATGCCACAATTATTATCTATATCTGGCATAAGTAGACTTTCTCGATCTGTTCAGCTGCTTAAATAGCTTAAGAATCCCGGATTTTCTACCTTAACTTCAGTCTATTACTTCACCACCATCATGAATCTTACCACTAGAAGGATGATAAAAAATCAAATAAAGTAGAACAAAATCAAGGAAAATTAATGTTTTTTAATTTAAATTTCTACTTTGTGGTTGAGTTCCAAGTCATTTATCAAATATTCACTACTTAGAGTATTCTTTGTTGGAGAAATTGATGAGATAGAAAGAACTAAAGGTCTTAACCCACTCCAGGGTTGTCAATTAATAGTACAGGCAACAATAGATAGCAGTAAATCCTAAATAAGCCACTTGTATTATAGCAATAACAGACTAGTCTTAAAAAGATCTGAGTTTAAATTTTAACTCTTTCTAATAAACCTTGGTTTACGTTAACCTCTGAAACTTAGGTATCATACCTAACTCAAAGAACCTTTATGAGAATTAGAATGAGAAAATTTACATGAGAGCTTTTAATTAACTCTGAGCACCATACAAAATAAAGTTAATATTACAGGAACTTAGCAGCAGCAGCAATCATTACGATTGAGTCTTGAATTGGTAAGATTTCTACACATGAAAAAGTAGAGAAGGGCATTTAAATATGAAAAACATGAGTATGATGGCTAAATAGGCAATCTGAAGCCAAGAATACTTGTAACGGAATAGTGAGAGAAAAACTGTTAAGGTGGTATGTGGAGGAGCAAATGTCAGGTCAAAAGTTAAAGGTCACCAGCACTGCTTACCTTTCAACATGTCGATGTCATCACGTTCTATTTCAGCCATCCATTTGGGTGGAGAGCTAGTAATAGGCTGTCAGAAAATAATACATCCATTCAGACAAATGCAAAGTATGAAGAGACCCTATTCTTCTTTCTTATAAGAAAAATAGCTTTTCACACAGCTGTCTGACTCTACAACTCCATGGCCTATAGCCCACCAGGCTCCTCTGTCCATGGAATTATCCAGGCAAGAATACTAGAGTGGGTAGCTATTCCCTTCTCCAGGGGAGCTTCCCAACCCAGGGATCAAACCTGGGTCTCCCGCATTGCAGGCAGATTCTTTACCACCTGAGCCACCAGGGAAACCCTTGAAAACACTGGCAAATTGTAATTTCAAATACCCAGTTTTGCCAGGTTCAGATACGGCCTACACAAAGAACCCTTACAAAACAATACTCTTCATCTTTAAAAGCTGGTTTTAAAGAAATGATCTTAGAAAATTAGGTCTGACTACTGTTACTGCTATATGTATGACTATAACAGATTGGTATAGTCATGACAGAACCTACTGGAAATTCACGACTAGTGAAAGCCTCCAACTAAACTGAAACAATAATCAGGAAGTAACATTTGCTGGCACAAAGAGAAGAGTTTCAAAGAAGAACTAAGAATTAGAAAATCTTCAATCTGAACAAGAGAATACTGGAATGCTCATCACTTAAAATTTCATTTTATTGTAAATGTTATAGAAAACTTTAGAATTTTAAGTTTCTTTTCATTCCTGATAGTGAACTTACAAAATATGAAAGAGAGCTCATTCTTAGAAGAGCTTTGGCATAACAGCTTTCAATCCAGCCTACACATGAGAACCAGCTGTGTAACTTTAAAAATATACAAATAACTAGGCCATAACCCAGATGCACTGATTCAGAATATCAGGGTGTGGGAGAGGGTCCAGTGGGAAGAACAGAGCAAGGGCATTACACATCTTTTTTTTTTTTTTTTTTTACATATCTATTTTTTAAAAGCTCCACAGCTGGTATATGATGAATTCTGATGAGATTTCCCTTCAACTGAGCCCTTTTCCTTTTCTTAAACTGAAGTATAACGGACACATACCATTATATTAGTTTTGGGTGTACAGCATAATAATTCAGTATTTGTGTATATTGGGAAATGACTGCCACAAGAAGTCTAGTTGACATTCATCACCATATACGGCTACAAAAGTTTTTTTCTTGAAATGAGAATTTTTAAGATCTCTTAGCAACTTTCAAACAGAAAATATAGTATTATTAACTACAGTTATATTATTAACTGTAGTCACCATGCTGTATATTATATCTCCAGGACTCATTTATGCCTTTTTTAAAAAAAATTCACTTTTATTTGGTACTATGTGTCAAATAAAACACTTTACATGCATCATGTCATTTATTTTCCAAATCAACCCTATGAAAAAGGTATTATCCTCCTCCTCATTCTACAAATGAAAAAAACAACAGATGTTTAGGAAGATTATAAATCACTTGCCTCAAGTCACAGAGATACTGGAACCATGATTCAAAACCCATGAAGTCAGAGTTCCAAAGCCACTACTCTACCTTCCCTTGAAGGTTTTAGGTCAAATTCACCACTTTTACCCCTAGTCGGGAATCAGAATATTCCAGGGGATCTTAACCTGAGGCCCTGGGATGGCCCTGAACCCCGAGAAACAAAACTCAATACGTATGTGCAAACGTCCAGGGAAAAGGTATAGATATTTCTTCAGATTTTCAAAATACACCATGCTCATAACAGAAGTTTTAAAAAAAAACCTATTTATGTTTACAACTCAAAGTAGTTAATTGCAATAAATATAATTAACTAAACTAAAAATTCAGTATGAATGAGAATTTATGAAAACTAAATCAAATACTTTCTATTTAATCTACTAGACAAAGGCTGATCTAATACTAGCTACTGTGTATAGTTTATTAGTTCTTGGCACTATGCAAAGCATTTTACATGCATTATGCCATTTTCTACTAAGTCTATGAGGTAGTATTACATGAGAAAACTAAGGTTCAAAAATGTTAGGAAACTTGCTCAGGTCACAGATAGTGAAGTAACAGGTTCAGGATTCAAATAAAAGTGTGTCTGCCTTCAAAACCCTATGCTATCCTTCACTCATGCTCAGGCCGTCCCGGATATTAAAGTCGTACACTCCAGCTTTCATACAACCCTACCTTCTAGAAAAATAAAAGAAGCTACAAAAAGGTCCCTTTGAACAAATATGCTCATGGAACCTGAAAGCCACAGGCCTTAATATTTAAGGTTAAGTATCTTTAACCCTAACTAGGTTAACCTTTAACCTAATGAATAGAGAATGTTAAGGTATGTAAGGTACATACTAAGGTACGTAAGGTACTAATATGGTAAGGTACTAAGAGAGTTAATTACAAATCCCTAATCTGTTAATAGAAACAGCATGAGCTTTGGAATCAGACAGATCCCTGCTCAAATCCTAGCCTATCACTCACTAGGACATGGGCAAGTAACTTAACTTCTAAGCTTCTCTGCTAGTCAGTGCTTCTAACTTTGGGCACAAAAGCTTCTAAGTATGTATAATAAGCATGGATGCTACTAAGTAGACTTACAGGTTCAAAGCCTGGTTTTGTCATTTACAGCCTATAATCTTGGGTAAACTACTTAACATCTTGGTGGCTATCTGTCTGTAAAATATGGATAATAATAGTACCTATACATCATATGGGTTTGTTTGTTGTTGTTTTTTTCCCTGGCCACATCACACAGCTTGCAGGATCTTAGTTTCCCAACCAGGGATTGAACCTAGGTCCAGGACCGTGAAAGCACTGAGTCCTAACGACTGGACTGCCAGGGAAATCCCCCTCATGTGGTTTTGCAAAGACTAAATAATGTATGTAAAGTGTTTAGAACAGTGCCTGGCATATGGTATGCATCATGTACATGCTAGCTAACATCATAATCATCCTATCTTCCTGGTAGTGGGAATACATAAGAGAACATATCTAGAGCATCCAGTACAATGCCTGCTGCCCCAGGAATTGGAAAAGTGGCTCTAATGAATGTCTTTCTTCAGTTTCTGATGAGCCACTGAGAAACTTAAAACTCCTCCAGGGAGGTATAAGTTAAAGTCATAATGCATCACATAAGCAAAAGAGAAACACTTCAAAATCATAGTTTGGGCCAAAAGAATATTGGCATTACATTAAATATTTTAATTGATTTACCTTAAAATCTTTTAAGCTGAAAGAAGAGGCTAATAGCCAAAGGTCAAAATATCAAAATAGAGCATTAACATCAATAACATGATGATGATATAAACAGACTTCCAGGGTTGCAGTTACAAAATACTATGAAGACAATAACATTATTCTTGAAAATAAATTAAAAGATATCTGAGATTTTAGCCAGAAGCAAAAAGTTGGAAAAACTTCATTATGTGAGATATTACTTACACTCTTGAAGGAAGCTGCAAATTCAGCAACACCTGGTACTAAAAAGAAAAAACAGAACATTAGTCATTCAATATTGGCTAGTATGTAAGGAAATGGGCACTCCCATACACAGTCATCCTCTTTCATGTGCACAAAGATATACATTGTTAAATTGTTTGTAATATCAAATCTTGGATATTATTAGGTTTCCAAATAGGGTATGAGTTAAATAAGCTATAGTAGATCTAGACAATAAAATTTAAAAATGAAGTAAATCTACACCTATCAACATGGAAAGATACACTGATAAATTACTAGGCAGAATAAGTTAAACTGTAGATCATTAATTATATAACCCCATAACAAAACAAAGCAAACTCTATATACTTTAAAATATTTATTTGCTTACTTGTGTAAGCATTAAAAAAAATACAAAATTTCTGTACTGAACTACAACAGCAGTTAACTTTATCAGCACTTAAAGGAGGCAAGGAATTACTTGATACATCTCATATTGTCTGAGTTATTACAGATATAGCTTTTAAAAATAATTTTTTTAAAGGTTCTCTATCATTTTCTGAGTCATACTGTGCTCTGAAAGAACTGAACTACTAAACAGTTAATCTTACTACCAGACCACAGAATTCAGTCTCTTCCTCTGAAATAAAATTTTAATCATTACAGTTAAATGATAACTCTTTAAAAATGTTCCTCAAAGTAGCACTGGTTTTCCCATCAATTTGGATATAAAGAAACCAAAAACTTACACTGTTCTGGCCAAAGGTCTGGTGAAGCCCGGTCAAGTTTTTCAAAACTTAGCAAAGATGCTTCTAGATCTGCCCCTAGAACAAAACACCCAGATAAGCCAAGAAGGAACAAAACACATTATTTTACATTTTATGACATATCAATCCCAAAGAACATAAACTGGAACACTCACTCACCTGGAAGTCTAGAGATTTGAGTTCTATGACTACTGATCCTACTGAGCCATGATGTTACATAAATATACGATTTCCTTACTCTCCCCGTCTTTAAAAAGGGAAATGACATTTTAGTAGGGTGTTGGGAAAAGTGAATGTTCACAACCCACCTGTATCTTTACTCACATATGTGTGTGTGTCTGTGTGTGTATTTGTCGTTCGGTTGTGTCTGACTCTGTGACACTACGGGCTGTAGCCCCCCCAGGCTTCTCTGTCTAAAGAATTCTCCAGGCAAGAATACTGGAGTGGGTTGCCATTCCCTTCTCCAGGGAATCTTCCAGACCCAGGGCTCAAACCCGAGGCTCCTACATTGCAGGAGGTTTCCTTACCACATGAACCACCAGGGAAGCCCATCTTTACTCATATTCAGACTTTCCTTCCAGTCACTGAAGCCCCTGCTTTCAGAAAAGACAAACCCCTCTGCTCAGGCTCTGGACCCCACCTTCTCTCGCTGTGTCAAAGACACCATCGAGAATGGTCTATTGCACAACCAGTTTCTGCCCTCTCTACTGGCTCATACTCAACAAGTAAGTCTGCTCTGGAATTCACCTTCTTTGAAGAAACTCTTGACCCCATGACTTCCTCACTCCTTCACGGCAAAAGTTTTCTAGCTGTCCATCCTGTTGTCTCCTCTTCCTCACCTCACAGTCTTTCTTTAGCCTACCACAAACAGGCTTCTACCCCTACATGCACAAAAACAGCTGTCACGGAGGTCACTGATGACCTATGTTGCTAAATCCAGTGGTCACTTCTCTGTTCTCTCTTATGTGACCTCTTTGCAGCATCCACTCACTGACCACTCTCCTTCAAACACTCCAGCTTCTACAAAACCACTATGCTGGTTCTTCTCCTTCCTCACCAATTCCTTCAGTCTCCCCTTCTACTCAGGGCCCACTCTAGGCTGGCTTCACTCTCTACTGAAAGTCTCCCAAGGAAATCTCATCTAGCCCCATGCCCTTTACCACCATTTATATGCCAAGGACTCCATATTTCTATTTCCAGCCCCAATATTTTCCTGGAACTTCAGAGTTATATATCTAAGTGGCTATGTGACATCTCTATTAACATGTGTGAAAAACCATAATTCCCATCTTCTCCATCTCAGTAAACAAAACCAACATCAACTCCAGTTCTCAATCCAAAAATCCAGGGATCATCCTTCATGCCTCCCTTTCTTTCATTCTTCCATTACCAATCTATTAGTAAATCCAGTAGTTTCTATCTAAAACACACTTTGAAATTTCATTAATTAACCAAGGAACAATCACTTCTCTCCTGGACCACTTCAATAGGCTCTTACTGGTCTCCCTGCTCCCATTCTTACCCCTCCCCATCCCTACTATCAAATCTACTCTCCAGAAAGTTAAATTTCAATCAGTTCAAGCCACTCTCAAGCTTAAAAGACTTCTTCCCAGCTAAATTCATGAATGCATACCTATTGTGACCTATAAAATCCTATATGATCCAGCCCCTGCCTAATTTTTGGACACCATTTCTTCTCCACTCTTGCCCTGGAACACAGAAGGTATTTAATATTAACAGCAACAGTTAACATTTGTTGAGTACATACTTTGTGCTCAGTGTACTAATTAGCTGAATAAATTAGCTAATTTAATGATATAAACAGTGGTTCTTAACATGTTCTGGGTAAGCCAAATTTTTGAAAATCTGAAAAAAAAAAAGCTATGAACTCACTCCCCAGAAAATGTACATATTTATAAAATCTTTCAACATGTCCTTTTCCCTAAACAAAATTTCCTCCCAATAGTCTAAGGAACTCCCAAGTTCACAGCAGGACTATCTACAACAGCCAAGACACGGGAAAAACCGAAATGTCCACTGATGAATGAAGAAAGTTTGAAAATACACACACACACACACACACACACACACACAAATGGAATATTATTCAGCCATATATAAATGAGGAAATCCTGGAGAAGGAAATGGCAACCCACTCCAGTGTTCTTGCCTGGAGAATCTCAGGGACGGCAGAGCCTGGTGGGCTGCTGTCTATGGGGTCACACAGAGTCGGACACGACTGAAGTGACTTAGCAGCTGCAGCAGCAGCACCTTTCAGCACTAGAATTAATGTTCACTCCAGAGCTGACCTACCCACATGAGGTGGCCCTGCCTGGCAACTCTCAGGGAGGCCAGAGATTTCAATTCCTCAGGGAGCGCCATGCTAATCTGCTAATGAGACTTCACAGGCAGAAAGTATCATAGTGGCCTGGTGAGAGCTGGTACCCAGGGGAAACCTAAACTGATGCACTTTTTCAGTTTGGGGTTAATAGGATGAGAAAACCAAAATTCATGGATTATGGGTGAAATCTACATTTGAAATCTTAATAAACATGACTGCCTATGTAGAACTCCTGGCATCTCAGGGGCAGTAGGAAACTCCAGGTGTTTGTGGAATGCACTGCACTTGCACACAAGCACTGTTAGGAAAGTTTATAATTCCACGTACTGAATCCTTTGGTGAGAACTTTCCAGGTGCTCATGCAAATGGAGAGGAACAAAACCGAGAGAGGGGTTCTGAGTCGTTTCTTGCTGGCTTTGGAACGAATCCTATCACCCTTCTTAATGCTGTGCTAACAGGAGAGAGCAAGTTCCTTCTCTGAGTGTAAGAGAGGTAGCCTGAAGCAGGCTGGGGCAGGGAAAGCCCACGGGGGTTTAGGCGTCTGCTGCAGATGCAAGTCATGCCACAGAGAGTGCAGACCAGGGTCTGCCCACAGCCCTGGCTCAGCCAGAGGACAGGGATGCAAGGTGGAGGCCAGGGTTCTCCCTCCGAATCAGAAAGGCCATGGGTTTTCCTGGTATGACCAGAGCAGGGTTCAGGGATGGGATGGGCACTGCATTCTGCTTTCTTTTTAAGACTCTTGCCAATGGTGTTGCCCAGCTCCTAAAGTCAGGACATCTGGGGAAGAGACAGCAGAGATGCCCCCAACTCCGATTCAAGGGAAGGCCAACAATTCAGAGCCCATCATCCCACACACTCTTCAGCCCAACAACAACCCACAAGACTGCTTCTCCTCAATGAAGAGACTGCTCACTGCCTTGAGCTCGCCAGTGGAACCACAGAAGGTGTTTTCCGTCTGTGCTCGCAGCCTTACAAGCTCTTCTGGGATAACCCCAAGTGGCTCACACAGAAAATCCTGGCTCCCAAAACAGAAGCTTCTTCTTATTCTATCTACCTTCTCCTCCTCCATTCTCTTTCCTCATTCTTAATATAAAATGTTTATTATTTTTTTTTTGCCCGGAAGATAATTGATTTTACAAAATCTGAACAAATAATCAGTAAAATAAAACCAAAGCCTGAATGTATTTCTCCTGGCTCACAAGTCACACTTGGTATCATAGTCTTGCCAGTAGCAAGAGGTGGAAGTTCAGGAGTTAAAATTCTCCTATCCAANGGTGATGGACAGGGAGGCCGGGCATGCTGCGATTCGTGGGGTCGCAAAGAGTCGGACACAACTGAGCGACTGAACTGAACTGAACTGAACTGATAGCTAACACTGCTGTATGACAGACAGGAAAGTTAAAAGAGTAAATCCTAAGTGTTTTCATCAAAAGGAGAAAATTTTTTGCCTTTATTCTTCTTTCCTTTTTACTATACTGCTGTGAGAAGATGGGTGTTAGCTGAACCAATCTATTTAAGGAAATTTCCACCGGCATTCTAATTGGTAAAGAACTCAACTCTAAAAACCTGCCTTAACTAGATATGTGATACACAAAATCCCAATTTTCAAACTTCCAAGGAATGCTACTTATGGAAAGTTCAACCATAACAAAAATAAACTTATTGAGGGTAGGATTCAATAACCAACAAGCATGACCTTATGATACCACAGTCTTGGGCATAACTTGACTCTACTGTGTTATTCTCATGCTTTAAGTAATAAATGACTTTACTTAGATGTCAATTTTCTCCTTTTCAAGGAGGTCCCAGCAAATTAAGCATTAAAGAGAAACAGTAAAGCTTTTTTTCATAGCAAGATAATTTTAATTAAATCTTATAGACAGAGACAGGTGGAACTCTAAAAATAGAAGTGAGAGAGCTAGGCAGTAGTATATTTTAGGATAAGACACTTATTTAGATGCAAAATTTAAGTTCAAAGTGCTCAACCTGTTTTTGTCAGATTAAAAAGATTAGAGAGAAAAGGATAAAGCTTGCAAAAGATGAACATGAAAACTTTTAAAGTCAAGCGTGCAAACAGAGTGAGAGTGGATATGGTTAAAAAGCAAAAGGAAAAAATAAATAAATAAAATAAAATAAAGAGAAGATTTGGATACTTAAAAAAAAAAAAAGCAAAAGGAAAAAAAAAACACATTTCCAATATTCTTCCTGGCCAAAGGAAGGAAAAGAAATTGAGAGAAGACAAGGGAAAATCAAACATAAGGAACAAAAATATAAAGACAACTTAGTTATAAACTAAAAATTTTCATAGCCATTACTTCTATCACTTGGCTGACTTTTTTTCAACTGTGGTAAGATATACATAAAACATACCAGTTTAGCCAGTATTAAGTGTACAGTTCAGTGGCATTAAGTACATTCACACTGCTTTGCAACCGTCATCACCATCCATTGCTAGAACTTTTTCATGTTCCCAATCTGAAAGTCTATACCCGTTAAATAAATAACAACTCCACATTCCCTTGGCTAACTTTTTAAATGCTCCATACTTTTTTCCTGGCCAAAAAAAAAGAAGACAAGACATTTCATTTTTAACAAGAGAGCACTCAGGCAGGATCAAGAATCTCTTTTGACTTTCAACACCCATAATTTCTTATACAGTATGTGGTTGCTTGTCATTGTTGTTTAGTAGCTAAATCACGTCTGACTCTTTGCAACCCCACGGACTGCCAGGCTCCTCTGTCCATGGGATTTCCCAGGCAAGAATACTGGAGTGTGTTGCCATCTCCTTCTCCAGGGGATCTTCCAGACCCAGGAACCCATGTCTCCTGCATTGGCAGGCGGATTCTTTACTCCTGAGCCACCAGGGAAGCCTCATACAGTACGTATGCTCAAAAACCTTAAAATATTATCTAAGTATATATCTAATCATTCTTTCAATAAACACGAATTGAAGACCTACTGCTTGCCAGTAGGTGAGGCACTGTGATAAGCCCTGAGATCCAACTACCAACGAAACAGACTTGGAATTTTCAATCTGGAGTGAAAGGGGCAAACTTAACATAATCAACTATTCTGTCAATGAAGGTACTGAGAAAGAGAATAATGGTGAAGAGGGGCAAGTCCAGATACTGTGTTCTGTGAAAGCCTTTCTGGGAGGTGACATTTAAATGAGACCTGAAACTGCCGAAGTGTTTACATGTTTTATTAATCATCTTCTCTTTCAATGCACCTAGTAAAATGCCTTTCATAAAGTAGGATCTCAGTATAGCTTTTCTGGCCACAAGTTCCTCATTCCTGAAATGAACTTTCAAGATTCCTTCCAAACACAAAACGAGAGAAAACTACATATCGGTGAAATGGACGTGGGGATGGAATAGTCGAAGTAAAAACAGTTCAGAAATGACTGCAAGACCTTAATCCTAAAACAGAACGGAGAGCAAAAGCCTGGGGGTATACCAAAACCACTCAATTGCTATCTGAGATGAGTTGCATATAAGAAGAAATCGTTCAATCACTCAGCCTTAAGAAACAATTCATAAAGCAGAAACAACAGAGGTACAGACGTGTACATGATTACGCTAAAAAGCTCAGTTCTATTTTCCTCGGGACTCACAGGTAGGGACCGAGAGGGTCTCCTGCTTCCCTAGCTGCCAGGGCAACAATCCCAATCTAAGGAGATAGGAGAGAATTATCTTTCTCTTGTGGTTCAATCCCGGGATGAGGTCAGCCCCTAACCCTAGATAGCGCTTAAGAGAATCAAAAAATCGTTCCAGATGCTCAAAGAGAAAAGAACTGACCTTTTACTGTGAGGCGCCCGGAAGGGAAAGCTACACTAAGGCGCCTCCTTTCCTCATCAGTATCTCTTCCTCGGCCATCAGCCTCACCCAAATGAGGCTAAAGGAGGACGAGGGCAACCCTCGTCCTTTTGCCCAGAAAAGGTCCCAAACTAGGGCCCTCCTCCATCTGCCTGGTACACTGGGAAATAACCAGGCACTTTTTCTGGAGCCGCGGTGAAGAACCGGCGAGCTGAAGAAGCACCCACATCGGTTAGAAAAGAAGTGGAAGGGAAAGGAGAGGAGCCCACGAAATAAATGTAAGTTCGAGTAGCAGATGGAGACTGGAAGTTCCCAGGAGAGCACAGAAGGATGTGGCAGGCGAAAGATCTCTAAGCCGGCTCTTACCGTCCGTGGGAGACGCCATCTTCCAACCCATGTCACGTGACGTGGCCAACTGTCGGCGGGAAAGCTTGGATCCGTAAGCCACGCCCCCAAAGAGAAACCCTACCCTCAAACCCAGGAGCCGGGTTCGTTTCCCCGCCCCCGTAAGGGCAATCTTTCCATAGGCCCGCCCCCCCGGTGCTAGCCACACCTCCCCTCGCGCAGTGGATGAGGTGGAGCTACGGCAAAAATTCTTGCAGGAACTTATTTACTTCCCTCAGTGAGTGGGCGGGGCCGCGGTTGTGCCTGTGGCCAATCGCAGTGCCGGGTTCGGGGGCGTCTTCCTCCCGTGCTCGATATAGAACACCTCGAGTTGCGCCGTGTCTTCCCTACACCTCCGCCAACAGAATTTGTTGAGGTAGAGCAGGGCGAGAGCGCTATCACTTCTGACCAATCGTATTCCCCCAGGGCTGGGATTGAGGGGCGGAGTCAGACGTTAGGGCGAGTAATTGGCTAGGGGAGATTGTCTTTTCCGCCAGTGAGAAGGTGGGTCAGGATGGAGAGGCGAGGCCTGGCTGCAACAGAGCTTCTAGACCGTCTCAGACTGTAGAGGTGCGGGGTGCTGAGAAGAGGCAGCCCAGAGCCATGGCGGCGGTGGCGGCGGCGGGGGCGGCATTGCGGGCCCGGATCCTGCAGGCGAGTGAGGGTGGCGCCAAGGGGTTGCGAAGCTCGAAATTTGTCCTTTCCATCCGCTCTCTGAGCTAGCCCCTTCATGGCTGACCCTTCTCTGTGCGCATCGGACCTGTGCGGCCCTGTCCCACACCTCACTCAGTACCCGCCTTCGTTGGAGCCAGCCCTGGTCTCTCAGCCCTGGCCCTTTTATTCTTGAGCCTCCCCCCTTTTCTGGTTCTGGCCCACTGTCCTCTTCGAGGCTTGCCCGGTCCCTGCCGACACTCCCTTGCCCTCACCTCTGTCGGTCTGCCCACCGTCTTCCCTTTCACTTCTGCACCAGCCACCTCTCTGCCCCAGAAGCTCCCCTTCTGGTCACCTTAGCATTGGGCCGGGAACGTCCAAATTGTCCCCTTCCCCCACCCTCCTTCACGGTCTGCAATCCGAGGTAAAGCCTGGGGGCGGGGGTCAGGAAGCACTGGAGGGGCGAGGGTCAGTGAATGAACTTTGAATCTCCTTCTCGGAATGTTCACTCCGTTTTCCCAAAAGCAGTCATTTGCTGAGCTGTTTTCCCCAGCTATGGCTCTTTGCATATTCCACAGGCTGTGGACTGTTGGGCCTTTGCTTGCCAAGACTTTGTTTAATTTTCTGGCAGAGTTACAGTGTTTTATTGGCGTTGAAAAAGGACACATAGTTAAACGCTCCCAGTTTGTTCCAAGCACGTGCAAAGAATTAAACATCTCTAAAATAGGTGATAGAAAATGGGAACCAAGGAAGGCAAGAAGTGTAAGTTCCAAGTTCCCACCCCAGAGTCAGCTTGTGCTGGGCTGTGCTTAGTCGCTCAGTCGTGTCCCACTGTGCGACCCCATGGACTGTAGCCTGCCAGGCCCCTTTGTCCATGGGGATTCTCCAGGCAAGAATACTGGAGTGGGTTGCCATGCCCTCTTCCAGGGGATCTTGCCAACCCAGGGATCGAACCCAGGTCTGCTGCATGGCAGGTGGATTCTTTACCTTCTGAGCCACCAGCAAAGCCCCAAGTCAGCTTAGTGTAACTCATCTCTGCCCCTGGGGTTGGAATGGGATGGGGGTGTTCAGGTCTTCTCTGAAGCTAGTCTAAGGACAGGTGGTTGAGCTACAGGAACTACATGCCTGAGGCCTGTAGCTGTTTCCAGCTGTTCATAGCCTTTTCCCATTGTTCAGGCCTAGCTAGGACTTATATTATGAGGCAACATTATCGAACCTGCAAGAAACAGCTTTGCTTTTCTTACTCATGTTCAGCTTGGGAACTTCTGTATTTCTGGACTTATAGATAACATTAGTATTTATCAGGTTCAGTGAGTTCTACTCCAGAGACTATGCATTTTTAAGATTCTTAGCAGAGTCCGCAAAGGTTCCTGTTTAAATATGCTATTTAATGGGACAGTGTGAATGGATTGGAAGGATTTGTCAAATGATCTGGCCTAACTCATATTTCTTGATGTAATCCTGGTTCTGTTTTTCTAGGTTTGGGGGTTTTTTGTTGTTGTTGTTTTGTAGTCAGAAAACAAAATTTCCACCCTATATTTTCCATTACCAACTTCTCCTGGAAATCTTTTATTAAATTGGCTTTTTTTCCTTTGCCTCTTCTACCATCACAAGTCATTGAGAGCCTTAAAAAAACTATGTTGTCCTATGTATCAAGGAAAAGAATCTGCCTCCCCAAGTACTTTATTTTGGAAATAAATACTTTTTTCTGATTCATTTGCAGAAACTTCTGCATTGACCTGAAAAAGAACAGAGATAATTCTAAGCCAATTAGGAGTTACTATAACATGATAGTTTGAGAGTAGTCTAGATTCTGGCAATCCAGATATTATCACTCCCATTTAAAGAAAACTGGTCTTAATATGACTCAGTGACTTTCTTCAGTGATACAGTGGAAAGAACACAGGCTTCACAATCATACTTGGATTCTATTCCAGCTCCACCACGTCCTAGTTTTGAGAATATCTGTGAAGATTAGAATTAATGAAGTAAGTTGTTGTTGTTGTTGTTGTTGTTGTTGTTGTTGTTATTGTTGTTGTTCAGTCACTAAGTCGTTGTCTGACTCTCTGTGACCCCACGGACTGAAGCACGCCAGACTTCTCTGTCCTTCACCACCTCCCAGAGTTTGCTCAAACTCATCTCCATTGAGTCAGTGATGCTATTCAAGCATCTCATCCTGTCCTCTTCTCCTCCTGCCTTTAGTCTTTCCCAGCATCAGAGTTTTTTGCAGTGAGTTGGTTCTTCGCATCAAGTGGCCAGAGTATTGAAACTTCAGTTTCAGCATCAGTCTTTCCAATGAATATTCAGGACTGATTTCCTTTAGGATTGACTGGGCTTTGATCTCCTTGCGGTCCAAGGGACTCTCAGGAGTCTTCTCCAACACCACAGTTTGAAGGCATCAATTCTTCAGCGCTCATTGTTTATTATTGTCCATACATACGTGACTACTATGGCTTTGTGTCTCTGCTTTTTAATACACTGTATAGGTTTGTCATACCTGTTCTTCCAAGGAGCAACCATCTTTTAATTTCATGGCTGCATTCACCCATCCACTTGTGATTTTGGAGCACAAGAAAATGAAATCTGTCACTGTTTCCATTTTTTCCCCATCTATTTGCTATGAAGTGATGGGACCAGATGCCATCTTCTTAGTTTTTTGAATGTTAAGTTTTAGGCCAGCTTTTTCACTCTCTTTCACTTTCATCAAGAGGCTCTTTAGTTCCTCTTCTCTTTCTGCCATTAAGGTGGTATCATCTGCGTATCAGAGGTTGTTGATATTTCTTCCGGCAGTCTTAAAGTTGATATTTCTTCTGGCAGTCTTAACAGTCTTAAAGTTTTCCCACCTAGTAACTGATGTTGCTGAGAATTCAGGACTTAAGTCTAAGCATCTCTTTCTGCGTCAGAATCCGGCCCAAACTTTGGGAAAGGAGATATAAGTAAAATATTCACCAAAAGCCTTCCTATTGTAATGCAGTAATTCCTTAACAATAAGACTGCACGCAGTACTGCAGGAACCTATGGAAAGAGCTCCAAACTCAACCTGTGCAATTCTGGAAAAGCTTCCAAAAGGAGTTGATTTCGGTTTGAGTACTGCAAGAGTAGGAGGCCTTTAGCCAGAGAAGGGAGTTCCTGCCAAAGAAAATAGCAAGTGTGAAATAAACATCTAGAGATCAAGAAGTTTGGTGTGACTGGAGATAGGATAGTTCTTTTCAGTAACAGTACTAATGAGTGTGTCTTGGAAAATGAAGAAAAGGAGTATGTCTTGGAAAATGAAGAAAAGACTCAATTACTATCATTTAGTCAAAAACTAAATGATAATGTTTTATTTTACCAGATGTAGTGTCTTTTATGCCCTCTTGACAGCAGGGAGGCTATGTGCATGACAGAATAAAATTAAGTGGCCTAGAATGCTCTCCTTGGCTGATCTGTACATTTTCTGCCCTATAAGAGAGTTTGCTTGTGTGTTAAGTCACTTCAGTCATGTCCAACTTTTTGCAAACCTATGAACTGTAGCCCACCAGGGTCCTCTGTCCATGGGATTCTCCAGGCAAGAATACTGGGGTGGGTTGCCGTGCCCTCCTCCAAGGAAACTTCCCAAGCCAGGGACTGAACCCTCTCTTTTTTTTTTTTGGCCATGTCACACAACATGTGGGATCTCAGTTCCCCAACCACGGATCAAACCTGCTCCCCCTGCTTTGGGAGCATGGAGTCTTAACCACTTGACCACCAGGGAAGTCCCGAGCCTGTGCCTCTTAAGTCTCCTGCCCTGGCAGCCAAGTTCCTTACCACTAGCGCCACCTGAGAAGCCAGTAAGAGTTTACATGAAGCAAAATTAATATCCCACAATTGCTTGGGTGTATACTCATTCCTTCATTCCACAGAATATTACTGAGTGCTTACTTTAGTCCAGGAATGCTACCAGGTGATGAGGACACAACTGTCTAGTGTTCTAAGGGGAGACAGACTTAATAATGCCGTTCTCTAGTGTGATAAGAGAACTAGAGGAATTCAGGTGTTTTATGAACTCCATAATCAGGTACTCAGCCTCGACCTGAGATTGAGACTTAAAAACTTCCAACTCTGCTACTGTACCACTCACTCACAGGAGTTAACCTTGTTTTTTCTACTTCAGAGGAGACTAAAACCATTAGGTGAGAACGTCCTCAACTTCCTACTAGCAAGCCTACAGAACTGACCTGTACCTGTACCCAAAGTGATAGGGAGCTCAAGAATAGACGTGAGCCAAGCAAATGGGATGAAACAACTCCAGGCAAGAGGGAGCAGCACGTGCAAGGGCAGTGTGAGCACAAGACGTGTTCTGAATGCCTGGAGCATAGAGAGAGCAAGGAGGAGAGCAGCAAACTAGGAAACTAGAGAAGTAAAGATACTATGTAGAATCTTCTAAGCAACATCGAGGTGAGTCTGTATCCCAAGGACAACGGAAAGCCATTGGTGGGTTTTAAACGAAGGAGTGATCTGACCAGGTTTGTGTTTTAAAAAGACCTTTTGGCTCTGGAGTGGAAACAAGAATCAGAGGTTTAAGATTGAAGGCTGAGAGACCTGTTAGGAATCATTACCTGTTCGGAAACCCAGGTAAGAGACAATGATGGTGTAGAGTGGGAAGAGGGAGCAAGAAAAGGGTTGCATTTCCAAGACTTCTGGGAGGACAGATTGTCAGGACTTGTTTGATTCACTGAGGAGAGAGAGAGAGAAGAGTTAGGGTGACATTTAAGTTT